TTACAAACACCACCTGCTCAAATTGAGACGAGAGTGTCTCCAACCATTCGGAAGTGAATTTATGACCACGTGTCTACCTTTAGCAGAATTTTCATGTGCTGTAAAAAAGTTTTACTGTGATGAGTTCTCCCACGAGCGCAAAACAAAAATAACTAAATAACCAAAATGAGAAACAACTGCCGTAATATTACATTTTTTCTCTCGTGTTCTAGTCAAAATGTTCTATATTAAAATCAGTTCCGTCTGCGAAATCAAATATTTGTCTTTTTCACAACATGTCAAATCATGTTTTTTGAGGACGTCTTACCTTCTCATCTATCAATGTCGAGAGACTGATGAGACACTACGAATATTTTATCTGCTTGGGTTGTAAGTCATACAAAATTCATCTCCTGCGTTTTATACTGCTTTATTTTTCACGTCAAGTATTCACTCAAAATAGTAACTATCTAATGTAGAGTGTTGTTCGTATTTATTTTATTCTAATTTATTGTTAGAGTATTTTAATGTAAATGAAAATACAACCTACAAACGTAAGTATTTTTGTTATTGTATATTCCTCTGATGGTAGTGCCATCTAAGTCTAAACTGGAAATGTACTAATATTCAGACACTCCTACTATGGCACCCCCAAGTTTAGATAATTAATGTGCTGAAATTTGTAGGTTATATTAAGATTTCCAATAATATACTTTAACAGGTTGTTTCATTCCAATATTTACAAAGCAATAGATGTATCGAGCTCTATTTAGTACATTATTCAACCAGTTCTCAAAAAAATCGTCATTTTGCGACACACTGAATCTAGATAATGTTGCTATTTTTACTAATTTTTTACCTTTTTCGAAAATGAAAATTTGTATCAAAATTCAGTTTTGGATAACACTATAAACACTATTTCAATACGTGTTGAAAAATGTGCACTTTGCCAGGTTGTTTCCAGTTTAAACAGACGCGTGTGTATTTTTTAAAAATCGAACGCGTTATTTTTAACTAATATATCCGGGGGTGGACAAAATACGACCTCCCACTGCACGATGGCGTATCAATTTCGGCGGATTGGCCCAGCTGGAACAGACGCGCAGAAAAACAAACATCAAACGATTTAATACCCCGGAAAATCAGAAGTGGGATTTTTCGTTTTGACACGAGATAAGGGCGCGCTTTGATCCGCCGTTTTTTCGGAAAACAATAATGGCAGAAAATAAGTCTGCTTTTGTTTTTTTGCATGCGAAAAATTTACCGGATTTCATAGTTTTCGCACCTCAAATCGCGAGTGTTTTGTAAAACCAGTTTTCAAAACCTAAATTTCTATTGCGAGGTTTCTAAGTAACAAAAATTCACCTTACTTTCCAAATCAAGTTACACATGCGTGCTAAATTTCATTTTTTTTACTTGTCATTTAAGAGAAACGCATCAAACATTCCAAAAATTAATTCAGGTTTTTATTTATCATTAGACAAGATATACTTTATGTCTAGAACATTTGGTGGTAAACAATGAATCAGTAGAAAAACTAAGAGAATGTCGTGCTTCCATTGTCTTTATTTTTTGTTTGCACATCTTTTCGGGCAGATGTATCACTATCTCTCTATCAAGTGCATGTCAATCTCTGAGGATTTCACTCTCGTATATTTCAGTTTAGAACGGGAGTATTTACTTGATTCGATAAAAAATATAAACTTATACCTTTTGGCATTCCACGTTCAAACTGCATAACATTTGAATTGAATTGATTCGAACATTTTTCTTTTTTCTACCATCTACCTCAAAATATCCAATTATGCACAGATCAAGCGTGCGCAAAGTGTCTCTTTAAGACGTCACCTTCGTCAACCCTTATTGCGAGCCACTGAAGAGGTTTCCGGTACTTTATTTTTGGGTGGGATAAAATTGGAAATTGCATCCATTTCCGCTTAATTTCCGTATCGGTCATAGGCGTAGATAAACTTTGTACAACAAAAAAAAATGTTTCAAGGAAACTATCACAAGCTACTCTAATATTATTTACAACTCTTCTGGATTCCTCCTGCAGCAGTTTCTGTTAAGCTCTGAAGAAGCCAACAGGATAATTCGCGAAACGTCAGCAAGCCTGATTTATCAATAACCGACGCAGGAGGAATCTAGAATAATATCTGCGTCTTTCCTGATATTGTGCTCTTCATTATCTCTTTATGAGAGAGTAAAGGTAAATGAATGACACTGTTATTAAAATTTACCTAAGCGCATTTATAAATATGGACAACACAACCTATCATTATTAACTTCATCTTGGACAAAAACAAGACATTATCTATTGGTTAACCAATAAAAATACAGCAGAAATTTAAGCTGCTGTTTGATAAAGCCGTTGACGAACTGATACCAAGGAACTGGCGAAAAACACTACAGATCATGAAAGAAGAGGAGAAAATGTTTGATCTTGAAAATTAGACCAATCGGACCGTCGTCAACCAATTAATTATAACCTTATGAGGAAATGACAGTTCATAGATAATGAAGCATATTATGATATTATATAGATTAATTTCTGTATAATATATTCTTTGCACAATGGTTAATAAAAAGTAGTATGTATATAACGCCTAGTTTTTATTCTGTTAAAATGAAATTCAGTACAGGGATCAGTATCACAACACTATTTGCTTATAATAGGCTCTCCACTTCTCCCCTGCGTTAGTTTTGGTTAGTTTCGCCCCTAATATTGAATTAATGAAAAAGAAGAGGAGCTTATCTTCCAACCTAAACAAAAACAAACCTAATGCAAAATATCACTAATTAATAATTAAGTCTTTTTCCTAGAAAATACCACTACAAAATATTAAACTTATGAAGCAGAACACTTGAATTTGTTTTTTATATAGTAGGTGAGCAAATATTTGGGTACAATATCTACTGCATTTGGACGCTTTGCAAGTCCCTGGACCGAAAAGGTGTTCGGGACTTTGAAATCTAATTCTAGTTCCCAGTACTAGTCCCGAAAATCCAGAAATTGCTCCCGAACCTTAAGATACATTTTGATTCCAAATTATGCTATAATCAAATATCAAAAATTTCGAGCACTCGGACTTTGGAGCTTTAAAATTTCAGAACTGAAATATTTTATCCTTTAATTCTTTTTTCACCTAGTTATTAATAATACGATACATAAAAAGTTCTTTGCAGAGCAAAAGCAATATAATCATGCATAAGCTTCAGGCTGATCACAATATGGCTCCAATAATATTCTAAGCACTCAATAAATTCTTAATAAATTCTTAAGCAATAGTAAATTCGCAAATTTTATTCAGCACAGGTATAAAAATTTATGGGTATAAAAATTTACGAGTAAGTAAGTAAGTAAAGTAATAAATTATTTCGAAATCTTCAGGGCTAGGGACTTCTGTATTATCCCGGGACGAATTTTTTGGTTAAATGCTGGGACTGGAATCGCTAATATTCAGTGCTGGTTGTCCTAATACAGGAGGGAATGTAGAGGCTATTATTAGCAAATCGCGATACATTGTCTCCTGTATCTCCGACTGATTGCGTCATACCATAGGAGCAAATGCCAATTGGCAACCGGGAAGCCTTTGGCATAAGATTTTCACTGTTGATGACCACCCAAACCCTGGTGGATAAACAGAAACATTATGCAATGAAATGCTTAAGTGTTTGTTGGGCCACTCTGTATCTCCCTTGCATGCCTAACTATTTGAAATAGACTTTAGTTAGTTAAACACTCTCTCAGCTGCGCTGCGTTCGTTCCCGTAACTAAAGTGGCCTTTATCAAACTTGTTGCGTAATAGACCGTTTAATGACAAAACATAAAATAACAAAAATTGGCACGCATGTGTAATTTAATTTACTTAATAAAAATAGTTCTCGAAACAAAATAGGATCGTCATTTAAAAATTAGCTGAGAACGACATACCTCAAATTTGGGTCACACCGTGAAACAATTTCTTGCTCAGAATATTTCGGAGGAATTTTCTTTGATTTACTGAATTTACGCCAAGCTAGAGTCCGTATATCAGTGGACGGATTATGAATGAAAAGTGTTGCCCCTTTTTCCAACTTGGGTCGTCCCCGGAATTCGCTAAAAAATCTTTTTCCTTTTTGCTTGATACTATCCGATCTGCGTTATTTCGAAGGTGTCTCTAGGTCGAGGGAGCGATTAGGATCATTAGTGGAGTAAAAAGGACACAAATATTTTTTGCCAAAGTATTACCAAATGTAACCTATACAGTGTATGCAATGAATATTATTAACGTCAAATTTTTAAAAAAATTGATGTTTTTGCTACTAAACCACGCTCATCTAAGGAGATTTTTTTAAACGGTTATTTCGATAGCAGTTTATTAAAAACAGTAAAAGTTAATGAGTTGATTAGTTTTATTGAAGTAAAAAAAATGTTATTATGTATAGGTTTCAGTTCTTTTTTGACAGCAACTCTTTTTCTCTTGCTTTTAGTCCACCATACAGGGAATAGGGAAGTGAGTCGAAAAAACTATGGGGTAAAAACCATGCAGCGATACTGTTACAAATGTAAGCGCTAGCAAACAGTGTAAACTTTAAAATATTGTATGTAACTTATTGGAGGACCTTCTCATCTTTCATGAGGTATTAGAAACAGAGAGCAAAAGATAAGTTTTCGTTTGATGGTTTAAATCGAGTTTTAAAATCACCTGGCGTAACAACATTACCAAGTCATTGATTTGAACCCACGTTTGTCTACTGTTATCTACATAAACCCCAAGTTCACGTTAATGGTGATCATAACATAAACAATTTTTGTTCTTAGAGAAGAGACCTTTAAATACTATCAGAGGATCTACAATTATCTACCACGTCGTCGATCAGTAGAGAAAAAGTAGTAAACAAAAGCGCATCTACTATTTGCTAGCACTTTCACCGTAAATGGAAACTCTATGCATTACGAACTGAAAGCATGACGGGAAAAGCACTCGTAACTATAGGACAACTTCAGTAGAATCTTATAGGCTTGTTCGGTAACAAACCTGAACTAGTTGAGCAAGGCGCTGGATTTACGACCGCCAAGTTAGCACCGGTTGGTTTAATAGGCTGAGGTCCAGGACCTGTTCTTCCTCTGCTGCTACTGATGCTTTGACCAGACCCGCCGGAACTTCCGGGGTTGGAACCAAAGCTCCGTTCCACTGTTATACCGGGTGGAGCGTTATCGATGTTCACGCGAGGTTTGCTGTTCGATATTTCTGTCGCTTGTTTCAGCACTTGGTAAATTTGATCTACCTCGGCCGATTGTATTTCTTTGGAAATTAGTTGCGATTTAGTACCGATTAACGGACGAAGAGGGTTTTTAGAAATATACTATTCGCCTAGGCGATGCGGGTAGTTTTTTCATTTTATCCATCGGACTTTATCCCGATGCAAAAACTTTCCGGCGATCAACGAAAGGGCGATTCGCCATTTGTCAACGTCAAAAAAGTTCCTGCCGTTTTCACAAATGAAGCGGCTTCCATTTGCTGAGTGGATTTGTGACTTTCGGGTGAATCCAGGTTTAAACTGATTAAGGATGAAAGGTCGGCCGAAAAATTAAAGACGTAGGCTTCGTCAAATGTTGGAAAATCTCGAATTTTAATGAGTAATTAAATAAATCGAACGCCAGGGAATGCAAATAATTCCCTCTTCATATGTTTGCAAGGGTCTCGGGCGTTTACATCAAGCAGATGTCAAAATGGAATTTAATTATGAAGACGGAGGTTTATTTGAAAATCCGAAGTTAATCACGTACTACGTGAACCTGGATAGCAGTCGATTATTTGCTTCCTTAAAAGTAGTTCCTCTACCATTTCTATTTTACATTTATTTAAATGACATAAAGATATTATAAGTGTCTCGACAATCAAATAAAATTTAATTACGATTATTGGTTGAATAATTTCTTATTTTTTAAAATTATCTTTCTTATTCAAATTCCATCAAAATCCGTCATTTAACCGAACAAACGATAAAAAAATTTTTTTGAGAAGTAAAATCTTTTAACGAAATGCGATTTTGAATTAGAATACGTCTACGTCTTGGACTTCCTTGGACTTCGTAGCTACTCAATTCTCAAATACTCTCCGAAAAGGGGGCGGGGGCGATTTAAATGCTGCGGGGATTCACACCGATGTAGATGACGGATGAAACTTGGAAATGAAATTTTGATAATGTTAATTTGATTAACCTACCTACCGAGTGTTTAAAATTACAACCTGTCTTAAGCATACTCATAAAGAATTTGTGGATTCTATATGAGCTTTTATGTTTATTTAATATAATAACATAAGTGTAATTAAAACTTTGATTAACTTAAAAATATAAAAAAAAATGTTGACTTCCCGTTTTGCTTTTTTAAAAATTGGATTATTTTAAAATGTACGTAATTTTAAACAGTGGATCATTCGATGCGCTTATCTACTACGAAGCTGATATCTTCTTTAAACACAGTGAAGCTATTTTCGTCCGTGATGTTAAATTTTCAAATCCGATACTCCGGGTTCCTACGAATTCGCGCTTAAAGAAAATTGAGCTTTCACTTAGACTGATTCACTTGGATCGTAAAATAACTTCCAACTTTATTACAACGCTAAGATCTTATCCGGGTAACCAACTCATCGCTTCAAAGAAAGGAAATTTTCCACATTTTTCATTCCTCCCGGATTATTATGGCACCGGAGGAAGTCTTTCGAACGTTCCGGAAGTATTTTGGCGCAAAAAAGCAATACTTCATTTTTCCGAATTTAATTAATAATAAAAATAAAAGTATTAAACACATAAGATTACTTACTACTCTACTCCGCAGAATAGGTCTGTCCACAATAAAATTAGTGTAAAACTTTTTTATGCAATAGTGACAATAATCAAAGCAGTAAAGCGTCCTTTGAAGTTGATTGCTTTGCTGGCGTAAGATTGGTCTGACATCACATACTTGTTATGGGTAGTCTGTGTAGTTATAAGCCCTAAGAATATATTTGTAATGTGGTTTGCCTTTACAGGAGTTACAAAACAGTATCTGTATTATTAAGGACGTTATGAAAAACTTGGAAAAATTTCTGTCTGTTAAGTATTTGAGTCTTTTGTGGGTATAGTGAAGATTTTATGGGAGGCGTTGACTCAGTTCTAGGTTGATGGTTCTTCATCAACTATTCTTTTTAAGCTATTCATCTACTAGTTATTCGCAACATTTTATTTTTTGCCAACATATGAAGTAATATAAATTCTTTCATACGTACTTTTACTTTCCTAAGTTTATGTTCAAGGTAATTTTTCATGCTTGCTCGTAACTAAAAAGCAATACCTCTATTTACTATGTATTCATATTCAGCAATTAGATGTAACATACTTTACAATGATCCTCGCAAAAACATAAAGCAGATTCCGAAGACACTTTTTTTGAAGTCCCGCTTTACAGTCTTACTTCCATTCGGACGTTTATAAATATTTTCATTGGCGTCCCAAATGTTGTGTTTGTACACTTGGGTATGAAATGCCCATGTGTACAAACCTCGAAGTCACTTTATTGCGAATTTATTTATCATTGTTGTATTTACTGTCAGCGACCATGCTGGCTGTTGAACGCCGCTACGTCTTATTGGGTTAAAACAAGACATCAAAGAATCGCCGCTTAAAATATTCCTGTATTAACAACATAGGCAGGACCTCCAGCCGCTACATGTATTTCTCAAACTTTATAAGATTTTATTTTATCCATGTGTTTTAATTAAGAAAAATATTGTGGACGGACCTATTCTTATGGAATGGTGTATGTTTTCGACTTTCCTCGATTTTTAGAAACAAACCCAGACCAAATAGGCGTTTTGGACGAGCAGTTCGAAATGTACTATGGCCTATTCTCTTTGTCCCATTCGAATTAAATTTTTTTGGGTAAATCTGATATTTCGAAAGTGTAGATGGAATTCAAATTAAAGAAAAAACACGAAAAGAAATTGATTCAAAAACGTATAATATAATACATATAAAGGGTATGATCCAGAAATGCTTAGTGTTAAATATAAAAAAAAAGAATTTTAAAGTAAAACAGTTATTGTAAAGAATGGAGTCATCTGTTTTATATTTAACATATTGTTTTTTTATATACTTAACTCGTATCTTGGAACCTAAGCATTTCCGTACCTAAGTTTATGTGAACCTTTTTCTTTCTTTTGGGATAACGAATGTACAGTTGGGTTTTGGTCAATGTTTTTTGAAGCCCCCTGTATATTATCCACCTTGTTTTGCGGAATATAGTTCCGTATAATTTTCCGAAGTATTTAAATTTTCACGTAGCATGTCTGCGAAAAACAAGTTTGTTTTATTACGTCATCAATAGTTTTGTCAAATGTTGAGCTTTCAATTTGTAATATAAAAAATATTCGAAAGTATAAGTCTTGGATTTTTTGGTTGTTTCGGCACCTAGAGTCGTATAGCATCCGGTTTTAGCATTGAAAGATGAAGTTTCAATAACGAAAATCTTAACCGAGTGGGTAGGAATATCTACGAGAACAAAACACTCACTTTCGTCGTCGACATTTGCGTCTGGTATCCTCGTTTCAATTTCGGACGTGGACTTTTGCCGTCGCAAAAGCTTTGCCTTCGTCTGACATTTCTGGGCTTTTTCTTGACAATCGACGTGCACGTTCATCTTGCATATCCGGCATTTCAGCCCTTGACGCGTGTGTCCTGAAATTTATACGTTTCAGTGGTAAGGAGACGAATATATAGTGCTTCCACAAATCAATAATTTTGGCTTAATGACTGGAATTAAATGAGGTCCTTCCTGAAGTTGTAAATCTGTATTATTATTGGGCCAGACTGAAACCATTGATTGAAAAAGTAATAAGTAGGCAGAAATGCGTTCTTATATTGGGGGATTTTAATTATTAAATTTACTCCTATTTTTTAAGGAAAGTGAACAGTAATATTCCGTTGTTGTTATGTCAAACATTGATTTTAGAAAGATGCTTGCAAAACACGAAACCCAAATAAGATGAGGAATTGGGTAGTTTTGTTTACTATGGACTTCAAATATCGCAAAATAGACAAGCACTTAAGTGTGTTTTGATTTAATAAAAAAAATGTGATCCGGATTTTTGGAAAAATTCGGGTAACCACGTTATTATTTAGAAAATTCTTATAAAACCTTCATGAATTGAATTGAGGTGGTTTTTACTTGATGACAATTACATTATTATTATTAAATTATTCACAGTTAATTAATTGAAAGGTGTTGCCGAAACAGCTGTCATATATTATTAAATAAATGTGAAAATGTGAACACTTTTTGTTCTAATTTAATTGTGTAAAATTTTCATATTTTTAACTCTACTATAATTAATTTAAGTGAGGATAACAAAGCGACACAGAACTACATATCGAACAAAATCTGCAATTATGCTGTAAATAATATCTTAAAGCTTGTTTTGTTAAAATTACATTAGCATGCTTATACCCGAGCTCTTCTCTACATAATTTTATGTTTAGTTAATTTAATATATGCCCGATTTGAAAATATCAGATTTTAGATCTTAATGATGATTGGCTTGTTATGAACAAAAATTTATTACATTAGTGACTTATACAAAAATAAACAATATATAATACAATCTACCAATCACTACAGATCACTTATTCAATATTCATAATTGTTTGATTATGTTCTTTGCATATTTATAGGTATCTTTATTAACTAAATTTTAAATATTCTGACACTATTTTTAACTCTACTTGGTCGATATGCATCTTCGGAAAAGATTTTAAATGTGAGAAAAAACTTCATTGACTAAAAAACAATTACTAAATTAAACTTTTGGGGATATAATAACACGGACTTGGTTATTAATAATCACTCGAATCATATCTCCGTTCCGCAAATTCCAACCCATTCCCATTCTATAGAGTTGTGACGTTGCAATAAGTAAAGTTAGATTATTCGATATCTCCGGATAACTGTCGCTGGTGGTTTTGTATCGAGGGAGATAAGCTCGAAATACATGTCGCCTTCGATTTTTCTAAGTTGGAACCTCCGCCTAGCATGTCATTTCCATGGGTGTAACTACCCTCGTTACGCGGAGCGAGGCATATAGAGCCTGATGTACATAAGAAAATATTCGAAAGCTCTAGTTTGATTCAACTAGAATAAATAATTCCTTTGCTTGCTTAGCGTTTGAAGTCAGCAGAAAGTGCGCATAAAATTAGTTAAAAAGTTTGATCAGCGGTGTTGAGAAAAATATAAACAAAATATTGCGAATTGGCGACACGCAAAGGACGACCAAGATTAAAAAAAGTGAGACCAGAAACTACCACTGGCAATGTGCAAATGGATACCAAAGCGAAGAAGATTTGATAAGGAAGTTATTTTTGTATAATTTTGCATTGAAAAACTGTCAAGTAAATAATTGAAATAAGCAGCATGGTGTTTAATATTATACAGTGTGCCCACCACATGGAGAAAGTTTTCTATTCTCGGTTTTATGAAATTACCTACCAAATAACCATATGTCAGAGGTTAATTTTTTTTAGCTATATACTAGGTACGTCGAAAAATATGAGTTAATGTAAGAGTAAAGCGGGTTTGTTTATTTTTGAAAATATCGACAATGATTAATAATAAAAGTTGGTCACAATTTAAAAATTGGAAAAAAAGTTTATACATCTTTAATATCGTTTAAGTGAACTATTCTGGGAAAGAATAAGCGATTTTATGATTGAACTGAGATGGCTTTTATTTGATGAAAATCCATGTAACAAAATGAATAAGAACTAAAAGTTCAGATTTTCACGAAATTATATATTTTCACATGACAATTGTTTTGACAACACCATGTCTCTATCAAATGTAATATTTACAAACTACCTGCTACAATATATACCGAAAAATGACAAGAAAACCTTAATTAATATTGTTGTGATAATTTAAGTATAATAAAGGAGAGGTATTTAAATCTAATTGAGTTCAATGTCTCATTTTGTTAATCTCCATGACTTCCAATAAATTTAGTTTTCTACTTTTTGTAGCTATATTGTTTTAAATTGTTCGTGTTCTGTATTATGTTTCGGATAAATAGAGTTTACTGTTGTATGGATTTGTTTATTTATAATTTTATCGGTAATGGACGGATTGTTCAGTGCAGTTTGTTTAATGATATTAAGTTCTTTCTTGTAATTTCTGTTGAGAGTGGCGTATTAAGAAGTCTGTGAATAAAACAGTGAAATGCAGCCATGTTGTGCGTATAAGGGTGATTTGAGTTGTTATGTATGACTGTGTCCATGTGTGAAGGTTTATGGTAAATGGAAAAATATAATTTGTTTTACGTTTTCGTAATAGTTAACTCTAAAAAATTTGTCTTATAAAAAAACTGTTCAATAGTTTACTGAAGGGATTTTTTTTATTATATATTCAGATGCTATGCCGCAAAAACGACAGCCATGTTCCAAGTTTTTTTGGATTCTCGATAGATAACGGAACTGACGTCAAAATACCAGTGTTTTAAATCTAAAAGTAGCGGAAACTCTCGAAATGGCTCGCGATAGTGTTTAATGAATCTGACGTTATAAAGTGATACTAGAGTAAGTAGAAAAAAACATGTTAAACAAAGTATCATAATAGTGATGTCGGTTTAATAAGATTATCCCGTATATTTCATGAGAAACACCATAAAAAAATATTTTAGAAAAAGTGACGTTTTTGCGGCATAGGATCCGAATATGTCACAACAAATTGTGGTTTTCATTCCAGTTTTTAAAATTGCCCCTTCCCCATTCAACGGTGGGTTGGGTGGGGGGTCATGTTTAATATTTTTTATTCGACATTTAAAGGCATTTTTTCGTTATTTGATCAATTGTGCAAATCGCCAGATATTTCATGCTTCTCCATGCTTTTGTGACACCTGGTATATCATTGAAGGTAGTTTTATAAGCGTATTAACTTAGGATTAATAAATTCAATAATTCTGTGAAATATGTATTGTTATCAAGTTACGAAAAAAAAAAATATGGAGGCGAATCACAAACGAGGCACGAATATTTATTTGATGCCGAGAAGAAGCCGTCGGAGCTAGTTACGCTTTTGGTTATTTTCAACGCAAAAATATCCTCATATATTCATGCAGACATAAATCAAACTCAATTTCGGATACATATTTCCGGGCGCCGAACGCCGCCCAAATAAATAAAATAAAAACTCACCTCTTAGAATTTGGGAGCAAACGTCGCAAGGTGTTATTTTCTTGTACGTATTTTCCTGGAAATTGTGAGCGTCCGGATCGCCTTTGAGCAATTCTCTCGTCACTGCCGAACCGTTTTTCCTATTTATAAAAGTCTTCAGTCAGTCAACCGTAACGTACTATAAAAGCACTGTGATAATATTTACGTGACAACTTCGAATGATTTTATGTACTGGCATGTGACTTTTTGCTTAATTATTTTGTAATTAGATTAATGGAAGTTATTAATAAATTTCGTCATATTAACGCGTTGCTTATTACAAAATCGTTTGAAGCTGTAAACACCAGTTTGCACAGCAAGTACCAGAAGCTTTAGCGAAAACAACAATCAAGTGTAATACGTACTGTTCATATAACCCTGCACAACAAACAGTGTTGAGTTGGTGAATACTTTCATGAAGGGTGCCAACATAAATACGTTGAAAAGAAGCGGTGAAAATAAAACGAAATAAACTCCTTAAAAAAAGTATCGCATAATAAATTAAAGCATTAAACGGTTTCTGCTAATTTAATAATTTTTCAACAGTCCGACAAAAAAGGGACATTTATTTTTTTCATAAAAGAATACGATAACGGTTTCATGCAGGGTATTTCCCCTTTTGGCTCTAATTATTGCTCTTATACGATTTGACATTGATTCAGTTAGACTTCGTTTATAAAAATCTTCAAGATGATCCCACTTTTCAATTCTTCAGTATGTTTGAGTTTTAGAAGATTCCTTGGAGCAACAGTGCTCTATAGAATATTTTCAGCATGGCAATCCAAAACTTGTAATCTAACATCTTCTAGGTATTCAGATAAAATTCTTGCCACGTGTGGTCTTTCATTATGATAAACCCATCTACAATGTATGAACCTTCAGCAGTCATTGCTTCTCAATTGACGACAGCTAATTATATGCGATCATTTAACTGTTAATGTCTGTTCATAGATATAAGAAAGTGACTAACTGATACGAATTAAGGAAAGACCCGGGCAAGCTGTAAGAATGAAATATGGCCGAACAGGTCCATACTTTCCTTAGAATTTAATTATTTGGAGTTTTGTTAGGAAAGATACTAAACAATATTTATTTATTAAATATAAAATAAAATTACATATTATTGTGATTACTTACTTAAATTACTTAAAATTATTCACATAATGTATCAGTATGACTATCGCTATCATCGCCTGTTCTAATTATTATTTGTTCTGTATTATTTGCAATATGGATATACGATTGTTCTGCTTTTTCTATATGTTCAACAGAATTTACCCAATTTTGTGGAGGGATGTTAAAAACTTCGGTTTCTATAAGTTTGAGGACATTGGAGTTAACACGGGGAAAAACATTGTTACGACGAATGGCAGATTTCGGTTGGTGCCAAACATGTTCAATGGGATTAAATATACAGTGGTAAGGTGGAAGCCTTAAAACTGTATGCCCTAGATTTTTTGCATAATTATCACAGACGTATTCCTTTTGTAGGTTCAAGCTTTGTAGAACCTCAATTAATTAATAATAGATTTGGATTGTTGCTTTAGTGTCACACGAGGAAGGGGTTTTAGTCAACTGTCTACTGTGATAACTTGCATTGTCCATTACAATGATGCTATTAGGAGGAATGTTTTTAACTAGTTTATTTTTAAACCAACTTTCAAATAAATCAGGGTGGTGTCTTCATGGTAATCCAGAGAAGAATCTTTAATATTTTTCGCAGACAGAGAAAGTCCATATCGAATCCAACCATCTTTAGAGCCAGCATGCAAAATAGTTATTCTTTTATGTCTTTTTGATGGCGCGTTTGTTTCATACTTATCAGTTGAGTCAACCTAACCATTTTCCGAGGTATCATAAGTGTCGAACCAAGTTTCATCCAATTAAATAAGTGGCCTTCGTCGTTCTCTGTAAATCCTAATTTTTTCTAAATATTCCATTCGCCATTTCCGAATTCTAAAAGATTACATTAAAACTTGTCTTTTGTCAATTTTTTTTTAATCTAAAAAACATTTGTTGAATGCACTTCCATAAAGTAATTCTGCCACATTTAACACCGGTTTCATCTTTTTCAAGACTACTAATTAAGATATCTAATGTAGGCAAGCTTTGTTCCTCGTATAACTGGTAAATTTTACGCCGTATTATATCTTGATCACTTTCATCTACACTCGAGAAAATGTCAGCCTAGCTTCTTTTTTTCCATACAATTGATGTTGGAATTTTCGTCAATGTGACCGTTTCTTCTAAAGATACTTGCTTGCTGGCACCACGTTCAATGAGAGTCAAATAAACATTGTTTATAACTTCCTTAGTCTCAATAGAATAGTGTTTTCTACATTTGGGCGGGATCATCTACTGAGATACACTAGACTCGCATATATTGTGCATAATTCGCACACGATTCAACACTCGCTGTATTAGACACGAAATAAGAATGATTACTAATAAACTTAAACTAAGTAGTATACCAAACCAAAGAATATTAAACACAGGTAGGTATAAAATTATTTTCTATTACGGACCACAAATTTACCTGAATTTAAATTCCGCAACTTTAGGTAATAATCTTGTTGAATTGTATGTTAATGTTCACCCTTGGATAATCCCATTCAAAAGTAATTGGTCACTTTCTTATATCTATGCACAGACCATACTGTTACTGCTACTCTTGTACGTATTCCATTCCCTTTTAACCTATTACGCGTGTATTTCGCACATTGTTTACATAATTTTCAGTTGTCCTTCTGTAACATGTCGTCGATGTGATGCTTGTGGGCGCATCGATCCTTTTAATGTCTTAAAGGCTTAAGCAGTAAGGACGTCCAAAAACAGGACTTCTCTTGTAATTGCCAGTTTCTCTATGCCGGGATACTGCTCTCGAAACACAGGATTGATTAATATTCAATAAGTTCGCAATATAAGTTTGTCGAATAACCCCATAATTCTATCAACTTGTTCTATCGTTAAATTAATAATTTCATTTTAATTTATAACAACAATTCGACCAGAGATTCAGAGATTTTTGTTAATTTAAACAATTTTCTTTAGATGATTGTTTTGTATGTTTCTATACATTTTTAGCAAATGCGTGCACTTTTTCAGTTTTTATGTGCCATTTAATCGATTATGCGAATACTTTTTTTGCGGAGTGGAGAAAGCTCAGGATTTAATGATTAGCTGATAAAAAAAATTTTAAACTTTTTTCAATGACTCTCGATCTAAATGTCAACAAGTATTTTTAAATTTAGTTAGCCTACACAGTATTTTTATACTTTAGCAATTTCATGATTTAATTTATTTGCAAAAAGCGAAAACGAATTTTCGGCTAATTGCTTTTACGTTTTTCGACACAACGATAAAGCTGACGGAAAAACAAAGGAACCATAAATAATAGCTAAAACGATGTGAAAGTGAAAGAAGAAAAGTGTGAAAGGAATCTACAAGCTACGTAATGTGATTACCTCATCGACATTATTGTAGACACTGCATGGTACATTTGGTTTTTTCTGTTTTAAAAATAATACACAACAAACATCAATAATGTTAGGTATTCAAAAGAAAAATTAATATTTTATTAGATACAAATACTATATCGCTAGGACTATGATTATAAAAAATTAATCCTCGAGAATTCTAAAACTGTCTTCTTAAATTATGGATATACCTTCGAAATTTTGCACTTAATACATGTCGATTCTGTTTAGAATCGCCGAGGAAGCAGTTAATTTCAAACAAAGCAAATTATTAAATTTATGTCAAAATTTGGCATTTTAAGCGTATTAAGAACAAACTAACTTGAAAACAATTTCCATCAAATCGACAGTCTGTTTTAATATTTAAAAAAGGGGTCCGTATCACACGGTTTTTGGAATAAAATTTGGCCTCGAGCTTAATTGGATGATATCTGCAACAAACAAATGACTACAATTGAAGTTGAAAGGGAACACCCATCCTAATCCATATTCCGATTCTACAGAAAAGAATCTTTTGTGTTTATGTGGTCTTATGACAAATTTGAAAAATTTTGTTTTTGCGACTCTCATGATTCGCATAACACACAACAAAACAACAAATACAACAAAAAGAAAACAAATAAAAGAATTGAACGAATTTTCCTTGGACAGAACAAATTGCTAGATGCCAGTATTTGAGTCTGATCAAATAATATCTGGTCTTCTGTTTCGTGATGATGTTGAGAAACTGCTGATATCATTCTTTCTCTAAGTCTGGGGGACCATTGGCGTTCTTTTGGTATGTTTAATGTTTTTCGATCTGTTGCCTACAGAGATTGATGGAAGTCACCGCGAAAAACTTTTGATACAAAAGTTGTATAATTTTGCAGTATTATTATTATTAATAATTAAAGAAAAAATATTTGATAATTTAAAAATGAAAAACTTTCTGTTTCTCAATTTTGCGATGCGTATTTGTTTTCTTTTACAAGTGTAAAAGATAATTCTGCAAAAATTATACAAACCAAAATTTATACTAATTATATTATACTAACCAAAACTTTTTCTCAGTGCCTTGCGTGAACCCCTCTAAGCATGAGACATAACCCTGTATTATTTGGCACAGCTGCAGACGGAAGGTCATTTAGGGAGTTGCTTTGTGAAAGTGATTCTGGTGAAGTGATTTTTTTTAGTTCAATGTATGATATCTTGACAAATAAACCTTATGCTCCGCTCTCTTCAGGTAACGTTAACGTTAAATTTTAATTTTTGAAATCGACTACAAAACATTTGATTCTCTGAAACCATTCCAGATAGCAAATGACAAAACAGACTGTCAATCGGTGATAACATGTTAAAATTTCGGGCAAAAACTGGAACGAACTTAATTCGAAGATACTAAGCGGTACTTACTTTTCGGTTTCGGGTGGTGGCGTTTTTAAGCTTTTGAAAGCTTTTAGCCATTTATTTTTCATACTCGCCGTCGATGCGGATGACATTTTACGTTCGCGCCCGCTTCCCGTCTCCCCGTCGAGTTTGCTCGAGAAAAGCTCTTTCTGGAAAAAGGAAAAAATTCCCATTTAAAAGAAAAAATTTTGGAAATTTTGCATCTCGAGCGTTTTTAAAGTAAGCAAATTTATATCTGAATCCGATTTAACAGCAAGTGCCGCAAAGTTTATGTAAAGCATATTTTTTTTAATTATTAATTACAATAATTAACTATACAGGAGGTGCTCTAATTGTGTTGTAGTAAATTTTTTTAGCTCCTTCCGCAATTTTTTTCTAAACTGCTTTTTAGAAAACTTTTACTTTGTGTCGTTGTTCTTTGAAGTTTTTGACGGACTTACTGATAAGAATCATGGTCTGGATCACATTTTGGTATTCGAAGGGTATTTTATAAATATTAACCAATAAATATCATGGCGTCGATAACTAATAGCACGCGCGTCATCAATTACTGAACTCACGCTTCATAGGACTATTAAATAGTCATTAGATCTAGTACGTCCGTCCACCCAAATGCCCTTTTAATACTTCATCTACGTCAAAGGAAAATGTTATTACATTATTCTGGGTCGTAGTATATAATTAGCATACAATACATTGGGTTATCGAATACCGGTTATCAAAACCATTCTAAAACATTAAACCGAAATGTAGAATATCATAAAAGTTTAATAACAGAAACTGTAAACAAATAAGTTTAATGGGACCCCTAACTTTCCGGGGCTGAAACCGAAACTTTTCCCTTTTAGGTAGATGCGGAAAATTGACTTTACCAAAGTCTATACTGCTTGCGCTTTCGAGGCACCCAGTTTGGAATTTTAATTCCAGCTCGGGATGCTCCCGCAAGTTTTGCTATTTTTCACGACTTGCCGTATAGATAGGGTTGATTTAGGGGAACGAGAGACAAGTTTTTTGATTAACATAATACGAGCTTTGACAAAAGTTGCAAAACACTAATTTAGAAGAGATAGTAAATAATATCAGTCCATAATTGTGCAGGTCATGATTGTCAAGTTGTTTTTTAAATCCGGGTAACAACTATAAACCTTGTCAGAATCCTAATCCATCCCCTAGTATATGTTATTATGCGAATTTGTATAAATAAGTATAAGTAACAATTTTGTAGCCATCATAATAAAGCCAGTGAGACAAGTAAGACAAGTGCAAAATTAAAGTTCTGAGAAAATTGATTTTAAAAGTATATTTTCATTCGATTATGGATCAGTTTTTCATATTTTTAAACGCAGGGAATTGCAAATACATAAACTAATAGTCATTTTAAATCTAGGCTATAAAAAATAAGTCAATCCTAATTTGGACATTGCGACATTGGCTGTTCTGGAGCCTTTATTTAACGTTATGAAGAATTGATGGTGCTTTTTAGGTTGTAACTTTTCATAACCCAAACCAACTCGATCTTACTTTTTATTATTTGGAGAACTCGGTAGTTTATTCTATGTTTTTACAAAGGATATATTTTTTATTAGCTAATTTCTGTTTCTTGTATTTATAACTTTTAGATATTCTTTTTTATTTTCATAATTTTTATATCGTTTCATGTTACCTACTCCTATTTTTCATTTGTATTAAAGATACGACTCATTAAAGAGCTTCTCTTCTTCCAGTATCGGCGGCTTTGACAGATCACAATGTGACTTATGCAACATTTATCTAGTGTTAATTACCGGTGTTGGGCAAACTTTGATTTTTTTAATTTTAATTGATTTCCCGTTTTCCTGTAGTAATTGCAAAATACTTTAAAGCCACTATAAACCATATAGTACAATATACATACTAAGTATTCGTTAGAATGTGCTTTTTGCAAGAAAATTTCCGTCGCTACCTGTTTTTTCCCTATCTATAAATTGTTATCGAATATGTCTTGCGTATTTAGTTGATGGTTTGTCAAATGAGTGGAATTAGTGGAAAATAGAGCATTATAAATAAATTCAAGGGACAGTTCAGACTCAGCAAGAAAGGAATACCGGTGGGTATATACTATTTTGTTTTGTTATTACTTATTTCATTTTTATTTTACTTTTCATCTCGTAAAAGGTAAATGCTATGGTATTCACATAAAAGTTTTCAAAAGAATTAAGGAATTTACTATTTAAAAAATGTTATGTCCTTTTAGTCTTTTCCTGCAAAATTTGTTTTAGTTAAAAAAATCAACTCTGGCAATTACTGACATTTTAATGATTAAAATATCTCGGTATCACACTAGTTTATTGTCATAATTTGGAATGTAGAGTTTTCACCCGAGGCGACGACCTTCTGTCTCTTTCAAACATTTTGTGGATAAAGTTTAATCGTAATGTGAGAACTGATTACGATCCCATAGCCTAAATTTTCAAAACCGTTGCCTGGAAACTGTACGCTCTACAGATTTCCCTATCGACACATATTCATTTCACATAATTCTTTGCGGTCTAGTATAGCCAGTAATTCAATTTTAAACTTGTAGGTTTCGTTATATTTACGTGTCTATGAAACATATTATTAGCTCGAGCGAAACTGTTAATATTAATGGCATGATCAACGGTGATTCCCTTAAAAATTTACATTTTTACATTACATTACATTTACATTAACACGACAATATAAAAGCAGCTGAAACTGTTATCGGATCGTTTGCTTGGAATTTGGTGACCTAATTTTCAACATCTCTCAAACTACTTAAAAAACTTAACACCCGGAACTTACCAAATGGGTTTTTAGAGTTATCCAACCCATCGCGAAAAACGATCAAACGAACGTAACGACGGTGTATTCTAACCCTACTTTAAAGGAAAAGGCCTTCGCGTATTGTCAGCGCTTTACGATTCGACGAATTTTCAACAAATCTAAACGACAAACACCTATATCACAAATTTACGAATGTATCACAGTTTCGTAATGACGCGGAAAACGGGGGTGGGTGAAAAAACGGCGTTAACCACTCACCGTAACCGTACAATTTGCGTTAGGTTATCCTAGGTGAACGCTGTCGCACGTTATTGATAATTGTCCTTGCGCACACTTTCCGCGCATTTGCCTGCGGCGAAAGTGGACCGCAACGGAAGTTGACGAGAAAGCGGCAGGAAATTGTTTTTCTTTCTAGTTTGTCATAGATTAACGCAATGGAGTCGGTGTGTTATCTATTTGCGTTTAATGTGTTCGTCAAGATTGACCACCAAATTATTCCTCCACATTTAAAGGGCACGTGAAAACCATTTGCACGTTTCTAAAGAGTGGGGATATGAACGGTTATTTAGTAGGACAGGGTTAAGTCTGTCGTCAAATAAATAAATGACTAGGAACGTACATCTTTTCCTAAAAAATTAGAATCAACTAAAAAACAAAAATCGCAGGGAAAAAAAAAACTGAACTTAAGTTTAATAAATTCACAATTAAAGTGAGTTGTAACTTCTGTCCACAAGTATAATACTAACTTACAGTACAGATTGTGATTTATTCAGATTACAGTATACAAAAATACAGTCGTGAAGAAAATTATCAATATCAAATTATCTTCTATGTGTCGGTAGTCTAGTAGACTGCTATTTACTTGTACAATAGCATCTGATTCACGATTTTTGATTGATTCTAAACGAAATCGCGCATCTCAAAAAGATCTACTAAATGTGAGACAATTTAATGTGGGAAGCAGTTCTAGAATCAAGATGATTCGCCAAAATCCAACATGTTCTCCAAAATCTCAAGGTTTGTGGATTACAATTTGCCAGGACACAAATTTCATGAAATATGAAAAATTGGAAAAATATTCACACAAGAGTAGGGAACGATATTTCTGCTGCAATCTCATTTAGAGCGTTTGTTTCATAGATGACGGTATAATGCTTAGAGTAAATGAGTTCCTGAACTCTTGCTTTTTTGCAGCTGCCAAAGTAACCAATTACCTTGATGCGGGCCAGACTCAAAGATTAGATTCCTCACTCTTAGACTTATATTTTATCGAACACATGTGAGACGAGCTTCAACGACGGCCAAGAAATCCGGTTCTAAGAACAAAAAAACACCGTCGGTGGAAGGCAGTTCCTCCAGCATATATCCAAGCTCTACTTACTAGCATGCCAAGAAGAATATGGAGAGTAGAGCTCGACGGGAACACTCCTTACTATTTCAATTAAATACAATTTTTTCGCATAAACAGACTGTTTTTCCAAAAAAAATAAAATAAAAGATATTCGATATTTTTATCCATGAGTGGCTAGGTAGCAAACCAGAGTATGAACATTAGACCACATATCTGAAACCTTTTGACAGTCGCGATGGCTACTATTTGGAGAAATTTTTCCACGCACAACTCATGGTCGACAGGATCATTTTTAAACAGTCCACATAATTACATTCAAGATTTGTTTGCTCGCGAATATTCATACGAGGACTGCACATCACAAAAATCTATTGGCTGTCCACAGAACAGCAGTCTTTATCAATACTTATCATCAAATTTATCAACTTTATCATTGCAGAAGAATGGTTTCATTTTCATAAAAGTTGTGCGGCTGTTTCTATTCTGCATTCGATTTCTTTATCTGGATCTAGTTGCTCTGTGATATAGCATCCAAGATATCTGTAATAGGTAACTCTATCAATGTTTTGCTGGTCTATATTTAGGGATGCATCGGCATGTGGCTGGCGACTGAATACCATAAATTTTGTTTTAGCGACATTCATTTTTAGACCCATGTTCCATCCTGTCGTGTTTACGCAATCCAACAGCTCTTGAAGGCCTTGGATACTATCACATAAGATGACCGTGTCGTCGGCATACCGGATAGTATTAATCAGTTCGCCGTTGATTTTCACTCCATGGTCTTTATCTTGTAGAGCCTCTTTGAAAATCACATCTGAGTAAAGGTTGAATAATAGCGGGGAGAGAATGCATCCCTGCCTGACACCTCGCTGAATGCAACATTCGCGGGTTAATCTTCCATCGAATCGTACCACTGCTTTTTGGTTCCAGTACAAGTTCTCTATGATACGTAGATCTTTACCATCGATACCTGAGGTCTTTAATATATTAAAAAGCTTATCGTGTTGAACC